CCACCAATACTTAAATACCAAAACCAAAAACCCAACACATGCGTATCCCAGAATTCAAAGCCAAGAAGAATTCTACAATTTGGCCATTTTTAATGTTTATTGTGATTTTTTTAATTTGATTTCTTTTTCTATTTATTTATAAAGATTTTTTATTTTAAGTAATTAACTACAAGGGTATATACATCTTTGGAGGGTTTATGTGAAAGTGAACTAAAACCTTAGGAGTATAGTGATATTTATCAAATGTGGGGGGTTTTTATGAAAACACAAAAAACCTCAAGAGGTGTTATTGTAATTAACCCGAATTAAAATGAAACATGAGAGTGTAACAACTAAGTGAGATGTATAAATAACTAACGGCATGTCAGTATTGAAAGTGAAGCAAGATGAAATTTGAAAATCGAGATCCGATAGGTAACAGAGGAGTAGTCCAACTCTCCTAACTTTTGGATGTGCGACACTCTCCCCATTGTGATATTAGATCTTGGTTCTGCCTACGTGTGAGCCTAACAACGGTACGTGTCCAATGTCACTTTATTTGTGTGGTGAACGTGTTTCACTTAACCAACCAAATTATTCAACTTGAAGTCTTGAAGCGACCGAAATCTGTAGAGGCTGGCAAAGCTAACATAAGAAATACAACTAGAGAGTAAAGATAATGAATAGTTGACATACAATGAGACCAATACAAAGACAATTTTTGTAGTGCACCAGTTATGTGCTTCTTTTAAAAAGCATTTCAAGTATTTTTTTCAGAATGTACTTGACTTTTATTAATGATTGATTCCAAAAGCACTTAAATCAAAAACGTTTTTTTTTTTTTTTAATTATTTAAAATACACTTCCAAACACACCCATATACTCTCGTGCTTACTTCAAATTCTCACTAAGGCTTGCATATTATCTTCTTATTTTTTTTAATATTAAAATAATGCTAGTACTACAATATTCTAACTTAAAAATAATATTTCTTTACTTTTTCTCTAAATTTTCTTTAATAATCTGCATTATTTAATAGTATGAAAAATGAATGATAATAATTGAATTGAAGAAATAATATTTTCTTCTTTGTAAATGATGTGAACATGCCCCATCATTTATTAAATTTACCAGATTGACGTTGCTTCTGTGCATCATTTGTGGCATTATAACCAATATTTATGCAGGATCGAGTCTTCGTATATGTGTTTTACAAGGTGGTGGTGGTAGAGAGATTACAATTGTTTGGGTTTTAGATTTCGCAAGAGTAGACTCTATCTGAAGCAACATGGGGTTTTGATTTCATTATTTCGAGGGAGAGCATTTTCCATCACACTCAACAACAAGGGTGGTTTATTCCCGAGTAGACTCTATTGTGGAGGATTAACGCACTGAATCGCTGACTTAAGATGCTGTTGATGATGCGGGCAGCGATTGCTGCTGCTTCTTCTTATTTGAAGGTTGGTTATGGCAGCAGAAGCAGCACCACCAGACTCAGACTCAGAGGTATGCTGCCTTGTCTTCTTCATTCTTCTTCTGTTGTTGTTGTTTTCTTCAACAATTACTTGGCTTTATTTCATTCTCCAGCTTCTATATCGACCGAATCTAGAAATACCCAACAACACCAGCGTGTGAAACTCACTAATGTTGAGGATGCTCTCAATGTGTTCGACGAAATGCTTCAAAGGCGTCCTCTGCCTTCCGTTGTCCCTTTCAACCAAATCTTGACTCAACTTGCCAAGTTGAAACATTATTCGGCAGTCATCTCCTTGAATAATAAAATGGGTGTGTCGGGAATTCGTCCTGATATTTATACTCTGAGTATTATCATTAACTGCTTTTGCCATTTGCACCGGATGGGGTTTGGTTTGTCAGTCTTGGGAAACTTCTTCAAATTGGGTTTTGAACCAAATGTCACGACCTGCAACACTCTAATCAACGGTTTTCTTCTCCAGAATAGAGAGGCCGAGGCAGCAGCACTTTTCAACAAAATGTTGGACAGTGGTACTTGCAAGCCGGATGTGGTTACTTTCAGTACCCTAGTAAAGGGCCTTTGCGCGATAGGTAACAACACTGCAGCAATCCAATTGCTTAAGAAGATGGGAGAAGGGGCTTGCAAGCCTAACATAGTTATTTATAACACGATTATCGACAGTCTTTGCAAAGATACTCTAGTTGCCGACGCACTGAACCTCTTCTCAGAAATGACGAGTAAGGGTATTGCCCCAAATGTCCTGACCTATACCTCTGTGATTCACGGAGTTTGCAAATTACAGGATTGGAAAGAAGCTACAAGATTGTTGAATGAAATGGTGAGTAAACATATCTTTCCAAATGTGTACACCTTTAATGTCTTGGTTGATACATTTTGTAAAGAGGGAATGGTCCAAGAAGCAAGGAGCGTGATCGAAATGATGATTCAAAGAGGTATCGAACCTAATACGATTACTTACAATTCGTTTATGGATGGGTATTGTTTGCGAGGAGAAATGGATGAGGCGAAAAAGGTTTTTGAAGAGATATTTAGCACAGGATGCATGGTTAATGCTCGTAGTTATAGCATATTGATAAACGGCTATTGTAAGCTTAAAAGGATAGATGATGCCCGGATACTTTTTCTGGAAATGTCTCAAAGGGGAATTGTTCCAAATATGGTTATTTATAACACTCTTATAGATGGGTTTTGCAAGATGGGAAAACTACAAGATGCACATAACTTGTTCTCTCAAATGCATACTTTAGGTCAACTTCCAAATGTTCAAACGTATAATATTTTACTGGATGGCCTTTGTAAAAACCAACAATTTCCCGAGGCAGTTGAATTGTTGGACGAGATGGAGGAAACGAAGTTGGATTTTAATATTGTAACTTACAATATTCTTATTCAAGGTTTGTGCAGAGCTGAAAAGGTGGAATATGCATGGGATCTCTTTCGGAGGTTGTCATCAAAAGGAGTTCAACCTGATGTCAGGTCATATAATATAATGATTAGTGGATTTTGTAATGGGGGGCTAACATGTAAGGCAGAAAACTTGCTAAGGGAAATGGAAGAGAGAGGTCGTTCTCCAAATGGTTGCACGTACAACACAATTATCCGAGGGCTTTTCAATAACAACAACATATCAAGGGCGGTGAGGCTTATTCAAGAAATGGTGGAGAGGGGTTTTTCTGCAGATGCATCAACCACGGAGTTGATCGTTAATTTATTGTCTAAAGATGAAGTAGATCCTACTTTGTTGGCATTTATAGAAAGTCCGCAATGAAACTAATTTGCATCTTTGCAGTTTAGACAAGTTTCGGGGCTTCCTTCCCTTGAATGCTGCATTGGAGGGAGTTGTTCTGCTATTGAGTCCAGTTCGAGTAGCCATTCATTCATGTATCGCCTAGTGATGTATGATACGTTTTAGTAATTTAATCTATCAAGTGGCAGGGCAACTTTTATGTTAATCTTTTAAGATGATGAAATATGTTGGAGAAGCAGAGTATCTGGACTGCTATGAAATTTGTAAACGTATTTATGGCTTGGTTTAACTCCTCTTTTATTTTTTTTGGTAATAATTCTGTTAAGCATATGAGTCTGATGGAAGAAGCAATGGAGGAAGTGATAGCTACAGGAGTAGGACTCAATCCATTTTTAAAATTCTGCACTTCCTCCAACACCAGATACAATATAGACATCTGATCAAATAAAAAAATAAAAAAACAAAAAACCAAATAATATTTTATTACAATTACGCAAATGAACACGGGGATTTAAGTGGTTCATCAAATCGGCTACATCTACGAGGGCTTGTTTTCATTTGTATTTCACTATATAAGATAATCTTACTGAAATGTTGGTTTAATGATGCTATTTGTTGTTGGAAGTCAAACTCCACAGTAACACGGTGGCGATCAGACACCGGAGAGGTGATGGAGACAGACTGTGTTGGTTGCCTAGATCATTTGGGATGTTACAATTACACAAATGAACACGGGGATTTAAGTGGTTCACCAAATCGGCTACATCCACGAGAGCTTCTTTGCGTTTGTATTTCACTATATAATGCCATGAAAAGTGATCTAAAGTGTATACATAACGTAAAAGAAATAGATGATGGGGAGAGAGGAGAAATCTTTCTTGTTGGTGTGTTCTTCCTTCGGTAACTCGGTTCTTGCTCTTCCTTAAAGGGTTGGCTGAACTGTCTGCGTCAGGATATAGAACATCTTTGAAATTGACGTTGAAAGGTTCGTGAACACTACAAGTCGAGGCCCGTAGGCACTCCTACTCTAACTTCCGCAAACTTCCTCTTATAATCTAATTTCATAATTCTACATATATAAAACAAACAAAAAGCACAACTAATCAATCACATTATCAACTAACAAGACCATATTAATCTGCTCTGTTTTGCGCTGAATCATAGTTTGTGTATTGATAATATGTGGTATAAATTAATAAAAATGCTACACAAAAGAGAGAGAGAGAGAGAGAGAGAGGAAACGTTTACAGAAACGGTTTGAGTAGGAGTTGCAATAGCCATCTGCAAAATATTTAAAAGAAAATGTGATTAATAAGATGCTCTTTCCTTAAGGTGTTTGACATAACATACAAACACGTATCACACTTACGAAAGGAACAAAGTAATGTAAAAGCAGTGTAAAAACACTAGATAAATTTTAATGCAAAAGTGATATAATTGTATATCATGATAAAAATGAACATGAAAGCATGGGCAATGACGACAACAACAGTGGTGAGGGCAATAGTGGTAGGGGTGGCAACAACGACGATGGTGGCGGTTGTGGTGGCAATAGTGGTGGTTGTGTTTATGGTGGTGGTGGTGGTTGTGGCGGCAACAATTGTTGTGCCAGTTGTCATTGTGGTGGTAGTGGTGGTAATGGTGGTGGGTGACACATCCCGATCTCGATGTCCGAGGGACATTGGGATGGTCACGTGCTGGCCAACACCCGAGGGTGACGCAAGCCATTTAATGGATGCATATGCTGAGAACATGTGAAACATGCACATAAATTTCGCTTGTAACTACACAAAGTAATATTCAAATATAAGTCTTACAAAATACAATAATAATATTCAATTGCCAACAATGAATATAATGATAATGCATGACATGTTCAGAGCATACAACTTATCCAGAGTACAAGCGAAAGGTAAAATAGAGAGGTGTTATTACAATAGATGTCAAAGCAGAGAGGATGATATGAAATCACTGGTAGGAGAATGCCTCGTAGCTCGGATCGTACGCCTCGTTCCTATGTCCTGAGGGGGCGCAAAACAAACATGTGTGGACCAAGTTGATATATATATATATATATATATATATATACACATATATATAATACTGAAACAGTTATTCAACATACTAACCCCCAAAGTTTTATGAAAACTCATAGCATAATATGTAATAGGTTCTTCGAAAACCCTAGGATGCCATAAAACGTTTCATGAAACATATATCGTATAATGTGCTAAATAATGGTATCAGTATCTCACGACCGAAGCCACCAACATACGACTGGTCGAAGCCAATATAAGTATCTCGCCCGTAGGCAGAACAGTGACCACTAGATATGCACAAAAACATTGAATATAATCTTTCCAACATAGGTACATATATCTCAAAAATATCTTCATAGCATATAGTTATCCATCATATATACTACAAAGAACATAAGTTCGATAAAGTATGGTATTCCAAAATATTCTTAGTAAAGCATGATAATAATAAAGTGTAAATATAATTTACTCATAAAACGTAACCATTAAATCATGTTTTTCATATATGCATTTCTACTATTAAAACATGCATTTTAGAAGGGGTTCACTCACAGATACTCCGTCGTCAAAGAGCCGTGCGAAATAGGAATGCTAGAATCGCCGCTAATAAATGCAACCTAAGCACATAAAGGGTCCAATTAATAATACTATATTCAAACGATTGAATTTCAGAAAAAGGACGTCATAAACGGATTCAGGACATCGAAATTAGCCTAGAAGGGTCTCGACTGAAACTTGAAAAAGTCAACAGTAACGGTCAACGGTCAGCGTTGTTAAAAGTCAATGGTCAACGGGTCCGGATCAGTGGGTCGAGTCACAGGCCAGATTAACCAGGTCAATCAGGTCGAGCTAACTGGGTTGGGTTGAGGGCTAGTGGGTCACTTCCATAGCCCAAAAGCCTGAGGTCACTTGGGTTTAATGGGCCTAGAACCTGAAAGCCCGGCTGAAAGGATTTGATTAGGTTGGCTTAGTGGGCTGAAGCCCTTAGTTCTAAACGACCCTAAGGCCCAGGTCCAAAGGTTTAAAAGGTTTATTAAATGAGTTTGGGCTTTGGGGGTATTGGGTTGGGTTTAGGGCTTAATGGGCCTGGGTTTGATGGGTTAAGGGTTTTGGGTTTCCGAGTGTGGGTCAACTGACCCGTTTTCGTTTAGAACAAAGGCCGGAGCCTCCAGAGCTTCGGTCGATGCCAATTGGCCACATTAACCTACGATCTAGCATCTAAAATAAAGATACAGACAAGAGGGAGCGTTTGGTACCTTCGATTCGCCGCGAAATGGTCGGAGCTGGCCGAACTTGGGTTCACCGGGGGTTCTTTGTGTTCCACAGAGGTGAGGAGAGAGAGAGTGTGTGCTAACATGGTGGTGAGTGTGGTGGTGTCACGTCGACGGATTTCCTTGGGTGTGGGGGTGTCTGGGTGTGTAGGTGTCGATTGGGAAAGGGAGAGAGTGAGCTACAAGAGAGATTCTCAAACAAATGTAAACAACCAAATCCTTTTAGATAGTAAACAATATTAACGTCGTTCTTAATTTATCAATACAAATAAGTTATAATTGTTGACGGCGATGTTTTATGTCATGAAAACATCATATAATAGGCTCATTATCAATAAAAACAAAGATATAGCTCTCAATATCAACAACTATACTATTACGCAATCATTAATCTACCATTTCAATGAAAGTGTACGGATTCTCCAACATTCACTAGTGAGGGGAATTACTTAATATATCCCAACTTAATGACTAACTTTTTAATGATTGGAAATGAAGAACAAGCAAAAAAATAAACCAATTGAGGAAGAAAATTGGAAGAATTGGAAATGTTTGGCCCTTTCAGCATGAAGATGACCTCTTAACACTGATTTTTTTTATATCATACGTCAAAAGTGTAAAAGTGGATAATCACATTTTGAGAAGTTTAGTACTGAATTATCGTGCTTTAATGCACAAAAGTTGATTTTGTGAAATTCGTCATAACTACCGTGAAAGGAATTTCATTGTTGATAATTTGGTTTGTTTGGGTTCAGATTTTTTTTTAGCAAGCTCTACCTTCTTGTCTTGGCTTACTAGTTGCATATGTAGTTGAGGTCTCGTGGCCTCGTGATATTCTTGTATAATATTTCCTTATCCTTCAGGATTATGCCCTATTGTCAACAAAAAAAAAAAGGGTGCATTTGTGTGTGTATGATGAATCGATTTTATATTATATATTTTACCCTATTTTTTGTATATTTTGGTGAAATTTTTATACTTTGATTTATTATTCCGATGTATGACTTGTGACTTCCTCTTGAGAAAAAGTGATCAAATAGACAAATTTAGGAGTAATTGGTAAAACTACATAAAATTGTTTAGGTGACGGCTGAACCTAAGTCTCTCGTTACTCATATTTTATCAAACTAGTGTGTTGTTACAATTTGTTTTCCAAATTTTTTAGGAAAATACCCCAAAATAGGACAATTTCTTAATCTTGGGACATAAATAGGATAAACCGGCCATGCACAAGCTATGCACACCATGCACAAAACCGAAATTACTAAAATACCCACATATAAATGGGTTATTCCTCACTCTCTCCCCCATTTTCTGATTTCTCTCTTTCTCTACTCTCTCACCCTTCCTTTCTCTCTCTCTCTCTCTTCTCTCACCTTCTCTCTCTCTCTACTCTTTACTCTCTCCCTTCCTCAGATCTCTGAGCTTCGATTTTGAAGAGATGAAAGTCCAAAAAGAGGCGAGAAGAGTGAGCTGGGCTTTGGGTTCACCTCATACCTCTAATTTCGAACAAAGGGATGCGAGAGAGAGGTAAGAAGAGTGAGTAAGAAGAGTGAGCTGGGTTTTGTACCATATTTTCTATTTTGGCTGGAAAGTTCCATTTTTTCAAGCAACTGAAGCTTCAACAGGTATAGCAAGGTAGGGTATTTTGTTCCAAGTTCCGTCATCAATGATTTATGGAATAAATGGGTTGTTTGTAACATGAATTAATACTTAGAAGTTAAATTAGGGTTTGTGTTTCATGTTCGGGCATATGGGTTGTGGAATAAATTTCAAGTTTTGACGTGCTACAAGATTGGGATGGAACAATTTCTGGTTCAAGTGTCAAATTGTAGAAATTTGTGAAATATTTTTTTGTAATGTGCATGTGGTGTGCATGGCTACATCTTAATATGAGAAGCGGGAATGCTCACTAGTTAATTATGATGCACGTATGTTGTGCCTCAAAATTTAGCAAGTATGACCACAACCTAGTTGGCCTCGGCTAAAAACAAAATTAAGAAAAAACTTAAAGGACGTTAAGGATCATGCGTGTCTGTGAAATAACGACAACGAGTATCATGTTTTCCATGTGCACGGTTAAGCAGTGGTTGATATACGTAACGAGACTTTTCAAACTGTCATTGTAATCTTATATACATAACAATTATGTTTTCATTGTAGGGGAAACTTGAAATAGGTCCAATTTTATAGCCCAACATTAGGATTAGTCCAATTTTTAGTTAGTTTTGACTTAGCTCCAATGACTAGGATTCCATGTCAGCAATTTTTCTGATTAGGTTGATTTTTTTGCATTGTTATTACTATTTTACCCTCCTGTAGATTTTGCACGTTCTCCATATATTTCCCACGTTTTAAATTTTTATCAGAGTTCAAATTCATTGTTCAGTGGTCTTTCATCACAATTTTTGAATTTGAATTTCTTATCAATCTATTTTTAAGGAAGGCTTAATCACTTTTAACTTTCTAGTAACTTTCTATACAAATTACATGTGTTTATACGTGCAGATTTCTTCAGAAGACCTATTCTCTAGGTACAATTTTTATGATCGTGCTTTTCTGATAGGAGCATATTTAGGCGACTTACTTAGCTTGTTTTCGTGCATTTATATTGTTAATTCATAGTTGTTTTAGTAGTTTAAGCCATTTTCGTGTGTTTTTAGGTTCATATGGCTAAGGAAGCAAAAAGATGCATTTTGGAGCATTTTGGAGCAAAATTGGACTTGGAATGGATAGCTTATGTTTGGAGCAAAAGGAATGGACGAAATTGAAGGATTCCTAATCCATTGCAGCCACATGCACCCATAATCATTCACACCTTGCAGCCACATGCATTCACTCTTCATAAATCAGCCACATGCACATTCAATCATTCACACCAAAACCTTGCACATGCAATCCCTTTAATTAATTCAACCTAGCTGTCATTGCACATGCATTCACTCTTTAACCCACATGCATTTCCACCCACATGCACTCCCATTCTTTAATCCATTCAGCCACAAGACATTATCATTGCACCACATTCAGCCATTCCATCTCCCATTTCAGATTGCATTCCAATCATTCCAACCAAATCACATGCACTCCCACCCTTTAAATCACATGCATTCCCTTCATAAATCAGCCACATGCACTCATAATCATTCAACCAACCTAGCTGTCATGTTTCCCCTTTCATCATTCCCTCACATTCTTTAATTCAGCCAACACATGCTTACACATGCATTTCCAACCCACATGCATCCTTTAATCATTCAAACATGCAGCCACATTCCCTCCTAGCTGTCATGTTCCCCCCATTTCACCTATAAATAAGCATGCATTACACCTCAATTCATTCAATTCGTCCATATTCAGAAAATCATCCAAAACACCACCAGAAATCATCCCCTTGTGCCGTGAGTATCCCTACTAATTCAAACACCACTCCAACCACTCCCCATCCCTCCAAAACACTTCACACTATCCCAAAACTCACCTTAGACCTTGTGATACAACAACGAGGAAGAGAAGAGTGCCTAAACGTTCATACAATTCAAGTTTGAGTTGTTGGAATGTTTAGGTGTTTCTTTGATCTCAATGTTTAAATTCAATTCTCTTTGTTTTGTACGTATGAGGAATGGAAGAGAAGAGTGCCTAAACGTTCATACAATTCAAGTTTGAGTTGTTGGAATGTTTAGGTGTTTCTTTGATTTCAAAGTTATGAGGAACTAAACCCCCCCTTGGCTAGGGGGGATTCGAAATATATGTTTATGCTTGCATTTTGATTTGATTACTTCTAATTGCGTTTCATAAGTTGTGGATTCAATTTGTTTAACCGTTTGATTGATAACTTATTTATGTATGTTTATTGAGAATGCGCGCTTAATTTTCATGCATGAATATGACGCTAGAATATAAGTGAGTTTCACCTAATAGTTACGAACTTATATTCTCAAGTAGTGGAGGTTGCTTATAAACAATCGCGTTAAACGAATTCTTGGCATAAGTTTCATGCGTATTCCATAGTAACGAATGCCTCGTCAACACTTATAATTTTCATAGAGCGTAATGATTCTTGCTTGTATCTCTATTATGCAATCATGTAGAGGACTTGTGGGGAATGTTTTGGGTTGTCGTATGCAATCATCCAATCCAATAACGTTAGGAAGATTTGAAAGTTAATTTAAGCGGACCTAATTAACTTGGAGCGTTGAGAATTCATGGTTTATTGAAATGCAATTGGAAATCGTTTTATTATGCAAGTGTAACATGTATGGAGATGAACCCCTTAGCTATTCTATCATCCATTCATTCCATTTCATCAATTTCATATTTACATTCTGTTTAATTACAATCTGTACATTAATTAATTCGTATAAACCTAAATCCCCCTTTACTTTAATGTCAAATTAGTTAGAAATCAATTTAGTTTGTGTTTTTAAGAGTCTTGAGTCAAGTTACAACTTAATTTCGTCCAAATTTGTGTTTATACTCAAAACTGCCCAGAAAGTGGTTTTTAGGCAGATTTGAGTGTGTTTGTGCTGTTTTGAGTCTTTTAGTTTGTTTGAGTGTTTTAAAGTTTAGTTTTGCATTCTTTGAGTCTAGTTTAGTGTTTTATATTGTGTTTTTACGTTTTTGAGTCAAATCCAAGTGATTAACAATCCCTCCTAATCCCCGGTCCAGAACGATCCCTACTTATACTTTGCATTGTTATTACTATTTTACCCTCCTGTAGATTTTGCACGTTCTCCATATATTTCCCACGTTTTAAATTTTTATCAGAGTTCAAATTCATTGTTCAGTGGTCTTTCATCACAATTTTTGAATTTGAATTTCTTATCAATCTATTTTTAAGGAAGGCTTAATCACTTTTAACTTTCTAGTAACTTTCTATACAAATTACATGTGTTTATACGTGCAGATTTCTTCAGAAGACCTATTCTCTAGGTACAATTTTTATGATCGTGTTTTTCCTTCGTGGTTTGTCGATACTCAACCTTCTCCATCTATCAAAGGACTAAAACACAGCAGATTGAATGCCAATTAACTTTCAAGTCAGGTATATTATAATTGTTTTCCACTTTATTGTTGTTTGCTGTGCGAATTCAAACATGAAGACTTTATCCTAATCCTCCTAATCCCTTTCTATCATCTCTCATTGATATGCTTCCTTCTCTTTTTATTAAACAAAAAAAAAAAAAAAAAAAAACCAATGCATA